GATTTTTCTAGTGAGTTCCGACCAACTTGCAATGCCTTTCGGCAAGATGCGCCGGAAATCATTCAAAAAAATTCGGAAAGTTTGCGGTCGGAATACTGCATCTATGTTCCAGCGATATTCTGTGTTCTCCTATAGAATATGGCGACTTTCAGACATCTCTCCTGGTAGTTTCTACGAAATCCGGTTCTCCTTTAGAGAGTGGGTGTGTTTTGCAGTGGATAGTGGTGGAAAACTACTTCCATAATGGAGCATAGCACCCGGCGAATCTTTCATTCAACATTGCGTGGTGAATTATACTGAACCCCAAGTACGAAACCCCTCTTATCAGCTATTAAAATTAAGGCTTTTTACGAAATCCAATTTCCACGAAACCTCAAAGGATTTCGATTTGGTTGCAAAAATCGGAAACCTTTAGGGTTCGGTATGGTACCTTTTTTTTTCCAGTGTAGACCAAGAATTATAAGAACAATTAATCTTATTAGAGAAGTCTAAAGTCGGTCTATTTAGGAAGGACGCTGAAACGCAAGAAAATTAGCTAATTCACCTGATATTGCAAAATGAACAAATTTTCCTATTGTTCACGATGATCGTCGTCTGCATGACTATCATGTTCCGATTCGGCCAAATCTAAAGGATGAACATGAATAAGGAAGAGTGCCATTTTTATATTGGGTTAGAATTATTAAAAAAGATCATGAAAAACGTTTTCCTCCATTGAAAAATATTTTGAATTAGAGGACGTTTAAAATCATTAAAATGAGTGTGCTTATGCTGCTTGTGGATAAAGTACTGATGAATAAAAAGGTACAAGATTGAAGGTCAAGTTTCTAAAAAGAATCATACTGGAGCTTGCAGCATCAAAAACTGATCGTTCAATTCCAATCATTTTTTAAAGCATGGCGAAACTTTAACACATGAAGACTATATTGAAAATGTTCTCCCACAAGCAGTAGCTGAAGATCGACGACTATTAGGTGATGACTTTATCAACCAACTGGACAACGCAACCTCACACAAGAATGGCTATATGATAGCGTGGATTGAGAAAATCTTTTCATGATTCATTGATGAAACATGACTTTCGAGTAGTCCTGACTAGGACTATAACAGTTCGGAAATAGTTCCGAACTGGTGAACTGTTTGAAACGTTCAGTTCAGCTCGCGTCAGCTCAGATAACTGGCGAGAGCTATCCTAGAGGGTACCCTAAGGAGCTCAAGTGCTATATATTAGAGATAATCTTAGGACCTTTAGTGCTATATATTATTATCACACAAGTATCAATATCAGTTTACAGGATGTTGTTAAGGTGTACCAAATTCAAAAATCGCACAAAATATTTTTTGCTATATTTTTACATGGTTTGATAGAGCTCGTCGAGCTCTATAAGAATACCTGTATTAAAAACTTTTATCTCTTCGAATGATATAAATCTTTCAAAGAAAACTTGATTTTTCAACATTTTTGAAAAGTAGTTGCTTTTTCAAAACATTTTGGTTTTTTTATTTGATTTTTTAGTCTGAAGCACTTGAAAACACGTCCATTAGATTCAGCGCGAAAAGCTGCATCTAATGATGCATTTTTGACGTTGTTCATATAGTATATCTCGGAACTTTATTTACTTCAAATGAAAGGCATAGCGCAACGCAGCTGAGTCACCTTACAAAACGATGTAGTCTCTGTAGCTTCAATATTTCTTTTTCAATTTTATGCCATTCTAATCGTCTTGTTATGAGGAAAAAAAGTATGCATGGGTTTGTTTTCCATAATACTATAGCTGAGAAGTATAACATTCTTTGATCACACACTACAATAAAGTCTGAACTTTCGTGACTTCAGCTGACGTCGATTCAAATGTAATTTTAAGTGAGATAGTTATACATAAAAAGAGAAATAGATATTAATGAGATATTTTTGCAACATTTTCTTGTTTTACAGACAATATTTCAAGTTAATTTTTGCAGAAAATTCATCTATTTTGATATATAACGTCATTCTTTTCACAATTCTTCAAGTTACGGTCTTTTTTTTACTTATTTTTGTGCCATTTACTGAATCAGCTGGTTATGCCAGAAAAATATATGGGTCTATGAAAAATAAACAAATACAAAAACATGTGTATCCTAAAGCAGGACCTGAAGACTATATGCGTTGAAGGTTACTGTTGGTGATCTTTCGATGAGAAATTATCGTCGCTGAACTATAAGTACTAATAAATAGTTTTAAAACTTCATCATATAAATGTCCATGTGCATAAGCATGTATGGCTTTCCAAAAGCGTCGAAACAATTTCAAAAAAATGTTTTTTTCAATAAAGTTGTTTTTTGATTCGGTAATCAACTCTAACATACGCTGGAATGTTTGATCGGAATGTTTTCGCACGAATTGTTTCTGATGACATCAAATCCCTTCGATTGGGTTTAGCTCGCAATGGAACTTCGATATAAATATAATGGTTACACCATATAGGGCTGCTAGATTTTCTAGTTTCGAAGATTATAAGGACATGAAAAAATATCAGGGTATATCAAATAGGATTACAATTGACTTTTATTCACGTTCTGAAAAGCTCTATGTTTCGATAAAGTTGATTTTAGCTCATCTAACGTTATATTTGGTGCAACCGGAAGTCCTAGCTCCATTGCAATAGATAGCAGTCCTTTACTTTGCCCTTTCTTCGGTCCTGATTGGTAGTAGCATTCTAGTATTTGCATTTCATTGTTATCATTTAAGTATTCAATTGATGAGACCGGGCATCTTGTCCCACTACGTTTTCCAAAATCGTTAATGCTATAGTTTTTGGCTGTATGTGCTGTGGCATTATCAACTAATATTTCAATGTTGTGGTACTGATATTCTTCTTTAAATTTCAGCAGTTTAGATAAGCGCTCGAACTGCAATAGGATTACGCTATTGTCAAAATAGGCATCAACTCCTAAGTGAGCAAATGCTGTAGCGGAATACTTGCCATATCGGATATCGTTGTCGTTTAACAAATCTGAATAATGTTCTACGGCTTTCATCCATTCGCGTTCATTCAAATGAACGAACGGACTCGAAGGATGTTGGACAAGGAAGTCCAAGGCCATTACACTTCTACCATGACCTTTACTAAAGAAAGGAGCCGAATCGCCAATAAACCAACGCCTTTGACGAACGTCTCCACTACGGAAAGTCAATCCGTCATGGCCTACAAAAGAGTAATGGAACACTACTTTATTTAAGGATTGAAATAAAATTATTTATCTTTCACATCAAAATAGTCGGTTTAGGCGATTTTGGATTTTTCCATGTTGGATCTTCATCAAAACTAACAGTATAGTAGTTGACTTGGTCGTTTAAAAAATAATGGATAAACTTATTTCGATATTCTAGAACATCAGGAAGATCATGTCCTCGAAGTAAGGACGATTAGAATTAGTATCAAAACGGGCACCCCACCGACGTAAATCAAGACGACAGCTTTGAATTGATCTAACTATATTTGTATCAGTCTTTTGAATATCATTAATTGCGAAGTATCTTTTATCAATAAATTGTGCTAATTCATATGCTGTAAAGCTAGCAGCTTTTTGATTACACTGAATAACAGCAAACGCTCTGGCTTCTTCTTCAAGTTCAGTATAAACATCATAAAAGTTGTTGCCTTATTTTCCAGCTCTCTTTTCACAAATGAATTCATCAAATTTTCCGTTAACAAATATATTTGACCAATTATGAACTGTTTCTCTAGTAAAGCTACCAATACTTTTTAAAAATGCATCCGTATCTTGGCATGATACGTTGAAATCACGTAAAGTTAGATAAATGAGAACGCTTAGATATCGCGTATTGCAGTAGCCTTTACAAAGTTCGTAAATATCAGCAATATCAGAAATCTTCATTTTATCTTTAAAATTTAAATCGTTTAAATCGAATTCATCATCATTACTGAAGTCCATAGAGTGCACACCATAGACCGAAACGGAGTCGAGCCGAGTCTACTTTTTTCAAATATGTGTCGAGTCGAGTCGAGTTTGATTTGAGAGACTCGACTTTTTTAAATTTTTCATTGTTTCTTTCAACTGTTTATTGACATTGATCGTTATTATCAGTTGTTGTATTGAAATGATACAAATTTAACTCATTGCAGTTAATTAATCGAAAAAAAAATTCGACGAATAAACGGCGATGAATTGACGACGTCCAATAGACAATAATGATTGACATACAATGACTTTCATTGTATTCAATGCGTCGCGTTCTATTCACCAATCAGTCAGACAACAATGAATTGACCAATCGCGGATATATAAAAGTCATCAATAAGAAAATGTACGACAGAATTGTTCGTATTCTTCTTATTCTTTCCATCTTCATATATTATTACGGATGAAGCAACTTTCTCTGCAAGTTTCAATCATTCTTTCTTCGAGCATGTCGATCGATTTAACTGACGACAATGCAATACCGGATCTGCCCGACGCGTCCTCATCTGCACTGTAAAAAAAAAGGGTAGAATAATAAACCCTTTAAGGGTTTATGAAAGTGCAACGTAGACTAAACCCTTTTACCGTATGTGAAAAGTTTCTTAATCCCTTTCATATACCCTTAGAAGGGTTTATGAAAGGGTATTTGATTTTCATAAACCCTAAAAGGGTTTAGTCTACGTTGCATTTTCATAAACCCTTATAAGGGTATTTAATTTTCATATACCCTTTCATAAATGCTTCTAAGGGTTTATTACAATTTCCATTCAGACAAGCCCCTTAAAAAACGCGTTAACAATCTTTCAGAAAAAGAATCCAAAAACAAATGAGTAGACTATGATTCTTTTTCGTTTGTGTTTACAATGCGCATCACAACGTATTTTTTGTAATTTATCGATCCGATTAAAATTTTGGAACTTACTGCGTTGTCCTAGGTTCGATCATGAGATGTATTGGTTGATAGTCCAAGATGTTATCCATTCAGTCAGTCGCATGATATCAATATGAAGTAAGAAATGCTACTTAAATCAAACGAAACTTGATAGGAAACTGAAGATGATATAAAGTTAAGCGGAACAATTGTTATTACATTTTTAATTGCCATAAAAATATGCAAAAAATATTTTGCATTTAAAAAATTATTTCTTTGAAAATAAAAATTATTTTTTTACATATTTAAATAAATTAGGAAAAATTTGTTTTTGAAATATATTTCCTCAAAAAGATTTTTAAAAAGATTTAAAAACGTTTTGCTCCATTTTCTCAAAAATTTTCTAACATATTTCTTATTTTTTTAGAAATCTATAACGTATATATTTCTAATACTTTTATAAAATTGTTGATCTATTTTAAAAACCTTTATAAGTATAAGTTTAGCTCGAAATGATTCAAAATTTATTAGAGAAATTAGCGCCTCTTTATCATACCGTTATGTTTTACGAAACAGGTACGAAATGAAAAGTGCATCGATGCATGAATGGCAGCATTGTGAGAAAATGATTGTATTAACATGTTTATTATATCAAATTGTTTGAAGTGTCCTGTGAGAAATTTTCATGGTATATATATATATATATATATCAGTTGAAAAAGTGTAATCCTTTGAACGAAGAATAAAAAACCCTTTTGATGATGGAGTAGAACAATAAATCCCCGTAAATCCCTCACCGTAGAATAAAATACCCTTTTTAAGTAAGTAATAAACCCTTTTCTCGAGACCGTAGAATAAAATACCCTTAGTACGAAAGTAATAAACCCTTTTATTGAAACCGCATATTAAAATACCCTTGAAGATAAAATCATATACCCTTCTCCTTAAATCTCAGATTAATAAACCCTTTTTGTTCTTGTATCATCTTTTTTTCATATACCCTTCGTTTCATAAACCCTTTAAGGGTTTATGGCGTTGTCATAAACCCTTCAAGGGTTTAGCATGATTTGTAGAAAGGACAAGGGTTTATTATTCTACTCTTTTTTTTTACAGTGTGCTTCATGTCCTATACCAGCACAATCTTCATCTACTCAAGTGACATACACGTCTACCAACATCAAGCATGGTCTACGGCACAACAAAAGCCATTACAAAATTTTGTCAAATCCCAGCAAAACGTGCAACTGCTTCTTGTTGGACTAAATTCAATCGACCAACTGTACGAATAAGCGATGAAAAAGAAACAATATTCAGTATTATCAAAGGTTTTGCAAGTTGCAATAGTTGCTTCGAGACTTATTTCTACAACGACTCAAGGCAAATCTCAATCGTGAACTACAATTGGAACGTGAAAAACAGAACATCAACAACAGCATCAATGGCGAAGGTCCACCGTCTACCACTAACAATTCCAGTAAAGCTGCAACTCTTCACCAATCTTCTGTAGTTCGTTGGCTGACCTTATGTGACTTGCTCGAGAGCCTCAAGAGTGCAGAGTCCATTCTTTTCCATGTTCTCAAGGATCACCACCAAAGGCAGCGGCTGCAGAAGATCAACTTCAATATGGTCGAAAGACTAATTGCTTTCCTCGCTCCGTGAGTAATTTTTCATGTTTACGCTTGGAGTTGGTGGTTCTGTAGACATGGCTAACCACGAAAGAAAATACTTGTAATATTATTTCCTTATTTTTTAGATGGAAAAATGTGCTCAAAGAAGTTCAAGTCGGTAATTCACCTTCTCTCCATTGTGTTTTACCGTGTATTACCTATCTACGAGAGCAAATGATCAACGGGGAGAAGAAAGAAAGAGGAGGTAAGAATCGTATTTAATTTTTTCACTTTCATCCGAACTTCTTTTTAAGAAATGAAATTTTTCTACAAACGTGCGATTCAACTACTTGACAACATGTTTAACCTCGAAGACGATCATATTCGAGCATCTTTTTTACATCCGAACTATAAACAATTGCGTGGAGCAACAAAAACACAGATCAAGTCATGCCACGCGTACTGTCGAGGTCTCGTTTTGCCTAATACCACGGGTGATGATCCAGTAATAAGTGACAAAGATATTTGTGAACCACCGTCAAAGAAAAGCAAGTTCATGTTACAACTGATGGATAAGAACGAAACAGTCAAAGAACCAGGTATGAACGAGATCGATCGTTATAATGCACTTACGGTCGAAGAGGAATATACAAATCCTCTAACGTTCTGGCAACAACAACATATTCAATTGGCCTATCCAACCCTTTATCGTCTTGCCAAACGCACTTTCGCAGTTCCATGCAGCTCAGCTGCGGTCGAGAGCCAATTTAGCGCAGCCGGTCAGATTGTGACTCAGAGGCACTCGAATCTAGATCCTTCAACTGTCAACAATTTAATTTTCTTGCGATCCATTGAGAACAGCAAGCGACAAATGTAGCTTGAAGTTTTTTTCTATATTGGTTCATTCTTATGAACTTTATTAATTTTGTAAAGTATTTTTTGTTGTTGTTGAATAAAATTGTTATTCTAAATTATTGTTATTGTCAAATAAACTTGTTATTCTAAATTATTATTACTATTGAAAAAAAATCTGCTTTAGAAAATTAGTTGTTTGAGTAGAAGCTCGGTGGCTCGACTCGAGTCGAGTCAAGCCGGATTTTTTTGGCTCGTTTCGGTCTATGGTACACACTATCATCACTAGAAGAATGATTTTCTGACGACCAACGTTTTTTTATAGCACTAACAGAGTGTGATTGTCGTCTGGACTTTGGAGGCATTTAGAGATAAAGATAAATCAATCGTTAGCTATAATAATAAGTCAGCTACTAAATATAAAGCTAGAAAATGATCAATTGGGAAAATTCATAGAATTTATTCAGCCCCTAGATACAATAAAACCCATGCATGAATTGTAATTGGTATCTCCATCATGAACATATACCCTTCGTGAACTATAAAATGATGTCCCTTTAATTTAACATTCTCATAAAATAATCTAATAGCTATTTGACGTTCCGCGTAATCATTAGCATAGTCGAGTAACTTGCATAGTAAAGCTACACTGTAAAAAAAACGTAGAATAATAAACGCTAAAAGGGTTTATTAAAGTGCAACGTACAACAAACCCTTTTTACCGTACATGAAACACTCCTAAACCCCTCCAAAGGGTTTAGGATAGGGCTTAGGAAAGTAATAAACCCTTTCATAAACCCTTCCAAAGGGTTTAGTCGAGGATTTATGAAATCAATAAACCCTTTAAGGGTTTGTGATACGTTGCACTTTAATAAACCCTTATAAGGGTTTATGAAAGCCATAAACCCTATAATAAACCCTTGGAAGCGTTTATGAAAGCGTTTCGGGAATCAATAAACCCTTTAATAAACCCTTCCAAATGGTTTATAGAAGGGTTTAGTGTCTTACTAAACCCTTTCAAATACCCTTCTAACGGGTTTCGGGAAACTTCCTTTTAGCCAAAAATCATGTTCAGTTTCATAAGCCATTGAAGCAAATCTATTCGAAAAAAATTAAAAACATTATCTTTGTTAAAGAATAATTACATATGATTTTGCATTTGTTTTTACACTAAAAGAATAAAAATAAGAATTATTCAATGAAAAATTATAAGGTGCCGCTAAAGCAGAATTGGAGTAAATTTTGTTTCTCGTTTATTTATACATGGTTCGATAGAGTTTGAAAAGCTGATCAAGAATATGTGCTTTTTATTTCGATTTGATCTTTTTTTGGCTCAGAAAATCGTCAAAAACAAGAACGACTGAAAAATGCTGTTTTTATGTTAAATTTTAATTTTTTACAAGAACTACCAAATTTCTTTTTCAGTTATTTTCTGAGCATTTTTAAAGTACTATATTCTGAATCAGCTTGAAAAACTGAGTAGGAAAATGTTATTTGATTAGACTTAGATATAATAAAGAAAACAATTTCTTATCTCATATAAATAGCTCCATCAGTCGAAAAGTATGTTTCAGTGAGCGTTCTTGTAAAGCTATCTAGTTTTTTGTAAGAAGTGATAGAAATAATTATCTCATCTTATTGGAATCGCCAAATCATGGGCTACAAAAGTTATTATTTTGTTTTTTCAAATTTTTATTTTTTTGTTTAGAAATTTGAATTGTTTCCATGTTGGGTGAT